AACTAGATTTGCCCATCTCGGATGTTCAGTACATGAGAGAACCTCTGTCGTGCGGACGCCTTACCCATTTGATTATTCATGGTGAAGGTAGCGGACCGAGGTAAATAATCAATGCCTTTGATGCTCTCAGGGTCACTTTCTACATTCTCCTTGCTTGCTGTGTTTTAAACATATGATTTCCAAGTTGGAAATATGATGCGTACATAAGAGCTTATATTTTCAGGAAGCTGTTGCGGCCTCAAGGTAGAATAATTATTATTGGAATATCCTTTATTATATTATGATAATAATATTGTTGTTAACAGTCGCTACAAATTATCATATGCTCATATTTAATTACTTTAATATTATAACACGTACATTGGAGCACAGGAGACGAAAATGATCGCTTTCTGCGAATGAACTTATGATATAACGAAATTTCACATGTAGCATTTTCACTGAAATGAGGTAATTTCTTATTCAGATATGTTCTTGAAATCGCGTTCTGACTTACGCCAGAAGTGACCATTTCCGACCTCTTTACATGCCGTAGAAGTTTGTAACATTTATAACGAGACACATTAATATGAGGTAGTAGTACACGTACTGCATTTTTTGCAGATAGTTTCTCAAAAATGGTCGGTCAAAACACTGTAAAATGAACTTCACCGATTGAAATGAATGCTGTCGGAACACACGTTATGCTGCAATAACTTTGACATGGTGCGGCACTAAGAAACGATGAGTCCTTGCTCTTGAAAGCCAGATTTACTAAGAAGACATAAGCTACGTTTCTTGTGCTGAAATTTAAAAAAAATATGAGTCCACTCTCTGCGTTCTGTATTATTTATACACGGCACCATCACTCCGTAATACTTGTTGTCAACAACGTTCAATACTGTTTCCAGGTAGGGAGCCATTTTCACATTGAAATTTATTTCAAAAGTATCTAATGTTCGCACGGAGACAACTATTTAATTGCTTGCGATATTAATGATTTTCTCGCGGAGAAGCATTCATTATCTCTTTGTACTTGTGCCAATAAAAATGCAATGCGATTTTATTCAAACCATTGAGCCGAGAAAAAAAAGTAAAAGAAACATTTTTTGAAATGTTAAAATTGATTGGATATTTATTTCAGTTCTGATCTCTATTTGCAAACATTTATTCAAAATACGTTTTGCAGACCCCGTCCAAGAATTTGCATTCATCTCGCGTTTTTTGTTCCGAGGGTTATGTTATGTTATTTTAAGAAACTATATCTCTTTTCTGAGAAATATCTTTAGTGGCTAAGGGCTTCAGTAGATGTTACTGCAATGTTTCTGAATGTAAGATCTTAGTGTTACAGTGCGGACGGCGGAGTTTCGATAAAATAAGAGAATTCTGCCGCAGCTTGGAGGATAATTCTGGTGGCCAGCTGATCTCAACGGAATTTTCTGTCGTTTCTCCTTTATCACTAAGCCAATTCCGGAGTAGAATCCTAACAAACGGGCTTTGGAACGCACGTGATCTTGCCGTCCTATCTGCACCCCATACATACACTCTTATACTTACATGCATTACACAACCATACATGTTGAGAGACTAGTCGGTAGCCTAGATTTGGTTTTGTCTGGCGAGGGGCGGTGCTCAGCAGGTGAGAGATACCTGATTAGAGAAAAACCCTGCAAGCCGAAAAACGTTGTGTGTACAATCCTCTGTACACGAGCATTGTGTATACAATCCTATATATACAAGTATTCCAAAGATTTTTTTTGTTTTCTAACAGGAGACCAAGATTGTTGATAATAACTCTTCAGTAAATATCTGAGAATTGTGGTAGAACGTCCAGTAATGTCGCACAACTACGTTGTAATTAACATTGATTTAACCGCGATGGTGACTACTGATGTGGTCAGAAATTGTGCACCTGGCGCTCGCTCAAGGATACGCCGCGGATTGGCGAATGAATATCGGTGATTGATGGTGAACTGTGTATAACACAAAAGAGACTGAGCGTTGCAGCGTTCGAGTTCGTGGAGCTATGGAATGGTGGCAGGAGGGGTTGGGGCGCGGGGAGAGATAGAGCGGGAGAATTCTCATTGGGGCTGAGGGCGTCGTGGGCGGCAGCGAAAAGCCAGCAACGCTACAAGCACCTCTGAGAACGCTCTGGCGTCGGTTCTGTCAAAGCAAGGTTTCACGTCTCCCCAAGCTGTCTGCTGTATTTCATTACTTGCGATGTACATGATTAACTCTCGGAACAGTTTCAACTGTCTCTTTGTACTTGCGTCAATGAGAATGCAATGCGATTCTATCTAAACCGTGGGATCGAGGAAGAGAATTTGTAGAGTAAAAAAGATTTAAATTTTGAGAAAATCTCAAAGAAAAAAATATTTATTGGAGTAAATTTTCTACATTTGAAGAAAACTGAAAAAAGATCTACATATTCCTCTTTTGGAAAGGTCAAAATCCACGAGTGTAAATTTATTACTAGAAAACCTAGTGTACGGTGCTTAAAGCTGTAAAAGACTTATTAATAGTGGCACCTAAACATTCCAAATTGAACTGTTGCGCTACCATTTGCCAAAGAAGAATCTGAAATCCTCCGAAAGAGTGAGTGGCGTTGAATTTTCAATTCAAGCTTCGTAGGTTAGTAAGTTTACGGAACTTTTAACACTTCGGGTTAATAATTATACATTTTTGTTTATTTCTTATACTGAAAATATTAATTTAATAAGTGACATTTGACCTCACATTACCAACATGGCAAACTGTGGTGATTTCCGAGAACAAAATCTGACGTTCTCAGTAATGTCAAGATATTACAAGAAGGACAGAAGTGTATATTTGAAGTAAATTATTATTGATTTTTTATTATTGTTTTTTTCAATTTTTGGGTCATGTCGAAGTTCATGTAACATTGCAGAATTTGAAGACAATAATTCCAAAAAATAAGTTGCTAGAATTACTGCAGCGTATTTGAAATATACGTCAGAATTTTAAAAAAACGCAACCCGCAACAATTCCCAGTTTGTGGGTTGCATAATCTCTTAACCTGTTTAAAAAATTAAAAGCGAATTTGTTTGCATGCCTCCAAATGTTCAGATTTGTAAAATAAATTTAAATTATCTTATTATTATAACTTATATTTTTATCAATTATAGATTATAAATACTGCGACCACGATAATTGAAAATCATTGTAATATTGACTTTTTATATTTTTTTAAATACATTTGGTTGAAATATAATACTTCCCCCTCTTCATATATCTTTCGAACATATCCGTCTCTCTTATTTCCTTCATTTCAGCTGTCACGATCGTACAGTTACATCAATATTACATTCCTCGTGAAAGACCGAACCTCCGCCGCGGTAGAAAACTCGCCTCCGAGTTATGTCCGGAAAATGAAATATGGACACGTACGCGAAGCCGTGCTTCCTGCCCTCACCCGCGAGCACACGTGTCGCACCAACCGCAGCGCTGCGCTCGGCTGCTGCCGGAACCAGCGCTGCTGCCCGCCCCAAATGTCCGCTCTCCACGGGGCGTCCGCCCTCCCATCCGGCATTACCTGAGCCTCGCCTGCCAGTCGCTTGATAGTTACCTGTTATCCAACGTATCCAAACATTATCTAACCAGTACCTCTCCGTTACCTTCTTTTTCATCCCGCCACCCGCCCTTCCGCTCGTCCACCAATGCTCAGCGCCATTACCTGCCCACCATTGTCCGCCACAGCCCACTACTGCCTGCCACACGTTCGCCACCCACCACCGCTCACATCCTCTACCGCCACAAATTGCCATGTCCCGCCACCGCCCTCTCGCCTACCATCTCCTTCATCCCACTGCCCTTCACTACTCGCCGTTCCCCGCCACCCCTACCACTGCCCCCCTCCGCCCATCACTTCCCACTACTGCCCTGCACGGCACGTCAATACCCGCCAGTGACCACCACCGCCCACCACCCCGTGACTATCCCTTGCTCCCCACCACTCCCAACCGCCTTCCGCCGCTTAGGGCTGCCTCCACCCCACCCTCCGCCGCCCCACATTGTCCACCATCCACTGACGCCACCACCCGCCTCCCGTTGTCACCCACTCGCCACCCATTTTACAATCCCATCTTTCCTCAGCGCGGGACATCCGCCTTTAAACGCGGGCGGTCGTGAAATATTAAGAGCTGCTATTGGCTCCGCCGTCGGCGAGCGAACGCGCGAGTGCGCGGGTTAAAATATGCAGGCGGCCGCGCCGCGCCCGCTCCGTCTCCGCCACGCCCCACTACCAGCACGCTCCGTCAAATCCACGCCTCTCCTGCCACCTCGCGGGTATCACAATCCGCTGCTCCTAACTCCTTCCGCCCTCCTTCTCGCTTTCAACGGCCTTATTTTTGTTCTTTGATTTTACGTTGTTTTTATTCAGTTTATGGTTAATAATTAAGTACAATTTAAAAAAAAATTAATTTCTGAAATGTATATTATTTTGGATATTATATTGAAATGTATATTATTTTGGATATTATATTGAAATGTATATTATAAAATCTACATACCACTGTTTTCATTCACTGCCTAGTTGCGTCGTCATTTACATTATGTTTCTTTTTTTTGTTTTTCATATCTATCTTTCCCGGTCTCTACTGGGTCACATTCCATTACTATTTTTCTATTAGAAGCGGAATTGAGGGTAGAAGAGAATTTAATGCTAAGACTTGATTATTTTCATATCTTCTGCTGCACGTGTAGTATTGACAGGTTTACTTCACATCCTTCACATCCCACATCAAAACTACCATATTCTTTACAATCCTTCCGTATTGTCGTCGTGTCGGTCGTGTTACAACCCTATATATAATTGACTTTCTTTTATTTCATAATGTTATTTTTTCATGTGCTTTTTCACATTCTAATAGGTCCGTATTCATGTTACTTCGTTTTATTTTGTTTCGAGTTCATAACATTTTACTGTTAAAAGTTCGGTCTCCTTCGCATTCTAAAATAGTTTATTGCTTCATATCTATGCGCAATTTTCCTTCTGCTTTCAGGTGTTACTTCGACTCCCACCAAACACTTCTTCCATACAACGTCCTTTCACAGCGGAATTGGAACTCAGATCGAATCGAAGCAATGTAGTGTCTGCACCCATATCTTTGCTTGGGATAGAGCCCTCCACTTTCGCTGTACCTTGTAGGAGCTCTCTGCGGCAACTCGATGCTCCTCCCACGCGCTGCTGCCACGCGCCACTGTCGCCTGGCGCGCCTGCTCCCGGCCCCCACCCCGCCCCCGCGCCTCAATCATCACGGGAAGGAACGGTAGGATACGCGATTTGCATAACCGAACCCGACGCCGCCTCCGGTCTCCCTCGCGCCCTCGCTCGCTCGTACATTGCGTGCCATTCGCAGGTCCGCGCCACCTCCACCGCCGCCTCCACCGCCGCC